CAGGAGGCGGAGGGGCACAGGAGGGAGACTGGGAGACCCTTCTCGGGCAGGACTGAACCCAGCTGTGTCAATACACCTGGAGAAACAAAAACACAGATGGGTTACACCTAAGTCCCTGTGCAGGAGAAGCCCCTCCCCCAGGCTCAGGGGGGCTGCCATCCAGCAGGCCTCAAGTTTCAGTCCTTTGGGACACCTTGCTCCCTCTGTCACCGACCATGATTCCTGGAGTTCTCACCGGAGAAAGCCACTCTGGGCAGGTGCCATCTCATGCCATAGCGAGATGGGCAGATGCTATAAAAGAAGACTTCCAAGGCCGGCCTCGGGAGCGTGGCCATGGCTGGGCCCCTGGGGGACTCCTGGCCCCCTTCTCTCCCAGCCACTGTTCGTGGCGACTCACCTCTGGTTCCCAGGAATGTGGTTATTTGGGGCCCCAATGTTACTCAGATGGTGCCCAGATTCCCTGCAAATCAGCAGTGAAGGAACACAGGAGCCTCCAGTGAAAGCACATGAAAATCCAGACCCTGTGTCCCTGCAGCCCCAGGGCTGGTTAAGCCGTGGCTCCCGGAAAGCGTTCTGCCTGTGGAAGGGCCGTTGTCCCCACCAGGCACCTCCTCCAGGCAGCCCCACCTCTGTAGGACTCCTGCACCCAAACTCAGCAGCCGCCGAGGGGGAGGTGAGCAGGTGCTCCGCTCGCTCCCAGCTGTCAGAGGGGCTGCCCAGGCAGGGACTGGGGTCTGAGGAGCGAGGCCAGGCTCCCCGCCCAGGTTGAGCATGTGGGCAAGGGCAGCCCTGCAATCTGCATGCCCCAGGCAGGCACCTCCCCTCTGCTCCGCTCCTGGGCCCCAGTAACGCCTCTGCTGCTGATAAAGCCCCCAGGGCCCCACCTCCCAGGCCCAGCAGGGGTGCGGTGGCTCCGGCATCCCCAGCTGCTCCCACGGCCAACGGCGACTGACCTCGGGGATCCTGGTTAAGGACGGCATGCCCTGCCCAGTGGGCTTCTGTAAAGTGAGTTCTGGAGCATCTGCTCCGAGGGAAGGGGGTGCTCGGGAAAGGTGCAGAGCCAGGTGGGGGCGAGATAGAAGGAGCTGTGTTTCCACGATCCTGGGTACCTGGGGCCCGCGTCCCTTGGCTTTGGGATTTATCATCACATCAGCAGAGGAGCATAGCTCTGTGTTCACCCGGGGCCTGCATGCCTGGGCTCTCGGCTTTGTAATCCCATCAACACTCATTCTCTTGGGCACCAAACGTAGCAGGTGGCCTCTGCTGGACTCAATTAATCCAGTTCATATTTTTCACAGCTGGCGATTTGCTGTCAAATTTAGTTCCACCCACCTGGGTCTCTGAATTATGTTCTCTCTGCATGAGGGGTTGGGGAAGAGGACTCCTGGGAGCCTCTGTCTTCGGTCTGTTTATGGCGATTCTAGAAGCTTTCCTCTGACTTTAGTGAGCAGGGTGTGTTGTCACAGGACCACAAGGGCACCTGTGAGGGGGCCAGTCTGCCGGGGGCCGGGGTCACCCCCATCTGGAAGCGATTGGCTTGTTTCCTTGTTTTCTCAAAGACCCACAAAAGCCGGGCATCTCATGGTCATGACTGCTCCGTTCTTGAAATACTGAACTTTGGATCCATGTTGCTGCCGAACGGGAGGGAGAAAAGTCTCAGGAGGGAGGCCAACCCCACGGAGTGTGTCTGGGAGATAGTGTCTGTGGCTGTTCTTAAAGTGGCCACGCAGCAGAGCAGAGGGTCACCCCACACACCCCCGTACTCCCCGCAATGATAGGACATATCGCTGTGGCGCAGCAGCCCGCTTGGCCGTTTTTAAGGTGTCCTGTGTCAGGGGAGGCTGTTGGTTTGGTGGTGACTTCAGGCCAGAGTTGGGCCCCAGGCCACAGGCTCAGAGGGACCCTCGTGGTGCTTCCAGGCAGGATCTCTGCTCATCCCCTTGTCTGAGAGACTCTCGGCGCCAGAGAAGTGATATTAAGTGGGGATTTCTTGTCAGTGGCTTGGCATCTTCACAGTCGCCTTCCCGAGGATGGGTATTTATTTTTCCCCCAGGAAGGGGAGGGTCGGGAGGAAGGCGGGAACTCTGTTGCAGTCGCAGCAGCAGCGGCGCGAGTCAGGTGAAGTTCATGTGAGTTTTTGCCCTTCCCTGGGCCACCTGGGCCTCAGCTTCACTGTGCCTTGGGGGCCTGCTGACCACGGACCTCAGAATGCAGGGAAGGGGCTGTGAGTGACCACGGGACACAGGAACTGTCTCCAGACCCAAGTACAAGCCTGGCGTTTTGCAGGAATAAAGAATGGCTTACGGGGGGTGGGGAGGGTGTAGCTCAGTGGTAGAGCAAGTGCCCGGCGTGCAGGAGGTCCTGGGCTCAATCCCCAAGCCCTCCATCAAAAAATAATAAATAAATAAACCTAATTACCTCCTCCTCCCCTCAAAAACAGTTTTTAAAAGGCTTTTTTTTTTTAAAGAATGGCTTATGAATGAAATGTTTAAAATTAGCGTGCGTACTTTCACTGAGCACAGAGCCTTGGGAGAACCACTTTTTTTTCCATATGTCCATTTCTTCACCTCTCTGGAACCTGGCTCTGCTCTGAGGCTGCCTATGAAAACCTTAGGAAAGGAAAAAAGCCTTGACGATTGTTTTTACAAGCAGAGTCATCTAAACTCTGCTGACTCTTGACTTCAGGGGTCATTTATAATGAGGTTTTAAAGCCAGGTTGTCATCCCTTACCCCCAAACGGTTTAGCCGGTGTCTTTGCACAATCAGCAGACTTATTCTGAGTTTTAGCTAAATGAGTCATATTGAGAAAGGCGGGTCTGCTGCTGTTGCCAATAAAATAAAAGAGAGAAACTAAGAAGGGCAATAGAATGCTTTCCAAAGGCAAAGAAACTGAAACTCCTTGTCCTCAAGGTCTGTTCAGCATTTAACAAGCATTGCTCATGTACGGCTCTGTCAGGTCCTGGTGACACTGGGGACGTGGCCGTGAACAAAACACACAAATCCCTGCCCTGTGGAGCTGATGCTCCAGCAGGGTAAGGAGACAGACTAAAATCAAAATAAATGAGTGCTCATTTATTAAAAGATGGTAGATGCTGTGAGACAGATAGCGGGCAGGGGTTAAGATGCATGGGAACTTCTACAATTTAAACAGATGCTCAGAAAGCCTCAGGGAGGTTTACTTTGGCTGTTGTGTTCCAAATGGTCCTTAAGACCATTAAGAAAGGATTACAATTTGATGTCCAGACTCTTAAATATGAGAGTTTGTTGATTGTCAGAAGCTACAGATTTCTCCGTTACATCATCACCGTTGAGATAGGGTACCTTTAGAATCCAGCAGAGTTCATGATGTTTGCTTGTGCAGCCCTGTCAGACTCCAACGGTTCTGGGTTTGTCTTTCTGGCTGGACCAACGGGATGGATGATGATTTATGTCACTCCTCTCTGGGTTATCAGGATTTCTTACGTCAAACTGCTGACGATTGTATTTGCCATCATGATTTCAGGGAGGAACTTGGGTAAGATAGCTAGTTAAATGTGTTATGGGCACTGACAAATGTGATGATCTTGGGTAGGAATATTCTTAAGTATAAAGGATAATATTTTTCATATATGCTACAAAGCAAACAAGCAAACAAAAAATACCTACTGGGCAAAGACTTGAAGGAGATGAGGGCTAGCCTGCATAGCTCTGGAGGAAACGGCAGGTGCCAAGGTCCTGAGGCAGGCGTAGCTGGAACAGAGCGAGGAGGGCGGAGCATAGGAGGGGGCGGAGTCAGAGTGATGGCGGGGAAGAGGGGCAGGGGTGCAGAACGCGCGGGACCTTCTTCACTACTGTAAGGATATTACTTTTACCCCGAATGAGACAAGAAGCTTTAGACAGTCTCGAGATTGGACACACAGTATGATTTGACCTCTTCCTAGACCCGTGACTTCCTAATGCCTTTGAATCCAAACTCCAGGAACGGAGTTATCACTGACCCCTCCCTTGGGCGGAGGGTCTCAGCCTTTTTTTTTCCTGTGGGATGCGCAGGGCTGGCTGCTGACATAGCTACGGATGATAGATTTCACGGCCACACCGGGGTACTGAAAACCCCCTCTCCCTTACACTCTCCAATTTCATGAGCAAATAGTGGTACGGATGCTCTTTATTTAAAACATTACCATGGGTGAAATGAAAAAGGAAACGGAAACGTCTCTAAAAACACAATTCTCAATGCAATAAACAGCAATTTGCAATCGCAGCTGCAGCTGGTCCTTCGTTGTTTCCTTTGGACCTCGCTGTGGAGGAAGAACACAGCTTCTGGAACCCCTGCCTCCAGCAAAGCTTACGGTGTAAGCGCGCGGATGCAGTGCTGCAGGGGCGCAGGTAGGGGGAGCTTGTTCAAATGTTTAAAAAATAGTTAAAGTAGTCTTGGTCCTCCTATAGGTGGCCTCTCTCCCTGTGTGTTCTTCACACACAACCGAGGTGATGGAGGAAGCACGTAATCTTTAATGGCTTCACTCCATCTTAGGATGGAGTCCATGCTCTTTCCTGGGACACCTGCCACCCTGCCTGCGCGTCTTTCCCTCCAGGATTCCTACTCCGCACCGCCCTCCACCCCGCCAAACTCTCAGCTCTTTCAGCCGGCCAAGCTTGGATATTTTTATTAAGCTTTGCATGTGGGGACTCGAGCTTGCCTTGTTCCCTGTTGTAACCTCAGCACGCAGCACAGTGCCGGGCGCACAGTAGGTGCTCGTGAAATATCGGTCGCATTCCTGAACGAACCACCAATTACCTGCATAAAGCCCCTCACGACTGATTCCTGCTCACTAGTGTGGTCACAAACACGGCATCACAGCTCTAATGGTTTGTGTGCATGACTTTTTAGATACTCCGCTCTTGGGTTTGTTATTTTTGTGGGGGGAAATGCACAAGATCGTTTCTCCCTCCTCTGAACGCTCCTTGCATCTTATGGGGACCTCCCTTGAGGCCCTTCTCATTTCCTTCGTCTTTCCACTTACTTGCATGTGTGTCATCTCCCACGGGCTGGGGCGGCGGGAGGCGGGCACAGCCCGGCTGACTCATCTTTGACTCACTCTTTTCTCCCCGGCACCGACCCCGGTCTTGAACGTGGGGCTGAAAAGAAAAAAAAATGTTTTTTTTTTTGTTAAATGAAGTCATTTAAAACCAGTGAATGAGTCTGAGGTCGTTTCCCCTTCACTCACCCAAACTGAGCGTTGATGGAGTGTCAGGAATACGTTGGGGCGTTTATTTGGAAAATAAATCTGCCTCCGGCCCCGGGCCCCGGGCCCCAGCCGTCAGTCACAGCCCGATGCCCGATCTCTCTGACCCGCCGCGTGTGGACGGAGGCCCGTGTGCGTCCGCTCAGGACCGGCTCGGAGTTTATCATCATCTTCCGACAGGCGGTGACACCCAATTAGAGATCTAGTGAGAAATAGAACTGTTGTCTCCCCTGCCTCCTGCTCACCCCTGACCACCACCGTCCCTCGGCGGCTGGCTCTCGGGGTGGAGGCTGATTTATCTCCTGAATTTATTGTCTCCGCACAGGAAGGAAGGCGCGTTAAGGGGGGAAGCGGTCTCGCCGCTAATGGGCCTGAGCGGCGGCGGCGGAAATCTATTAGCCTGCAGTGGGAGGTGTCGGCGATGGAGGCAGGGTGAGCGGCTCCGTCGCTTAGGGACAGATTAGTAAAAACAAAGCAAGCCCCGCCCCCCGCTTTTCTCTCCTGCCTGGGGGCTGGAACGTGGGTTCCCTCCTCAAACAGCTGCAGGAGAAGGAGGGAGCAGTGGGAAGCCTGCCTTGCCCGCCCCCAAACCCTATTGGTCAGGAGACTACTCTCCCTTCCCGGGAGTGGATGGTGAAGCAGCGGTTTGTAAGACATGATGTCAGTTTCCTGTGAAAAGCCAGTGCCTCTAACAACTGAAAAGCACGGGCTTTGGTCCAGCCATTGATCAAGGATGATAATGATTTGCAAACAATCGAGCAGAGTCCAGCTACTCTGAAAACCCATTCTAGGCTCCACTCCCTTTCCCGAATCGGACAAACTCTCCTCCCGGTGGGGTGGGTCACTGCATGTACCTGTGGTTTTCTTTTTCTCCAAAGGGAGGGACTGGCTAGGGGTGTGTCATCTGGAAGTCACCCCAGGGCTGGCTAACAGTTCTGTCTGGTGGTGTGAATTTGCAGGCACCCATCTACTGTGAAACCTGAAGTTCCACCATTAGAAAGTATTCCTGAGGTTTTTTAAAGGGGTTTTGATCTCTGAGAGTCTTCTATTAATTGCACACACTTAAGCCTTTCTAATAGGATCTTAAATCGTACTGCTGCAAGGAACTCATTCTTATCTTGTGGGATTAGTCGAGGACTAGGCACAAGCAAGAAGTGGAATTTGGGGCAGGTTCACAGAACAGGGCAGAGATGGGTGAGGTGCTGGTACAGTGGGGCTCAGGGAGGGAACATTCATTCCTTGAGTAGGACAGTGACTGGGTCCCAGATTCCTTCCTAGATATTCGTGTATCCTTAGAGCTGGGTTCCAGGCCATCTGCCTGTGACAGTGTGTAATCTGATAAATGATATTGGACTGAAAAGTGGGAATCAGGACCAGGGATGGAGTTACTCGGATTCTGAATATCTTTCTCTTGCACATGCCATCCAGGTGGCCATGGGGTCAGCCCAGGAGTTGACGGGGCTCCTTGGCCCCAGTGCCCGGACTTTTAACCCTTCTCCTTCGCAAGATTTGCAAATGCTATGCAGAATAATGTAGATTCACATTATTGCATCTGTGTGGGAAAATGGAGCATTTGCTTGGCAAACTTTGTCTGAATGAGACAGGTACTATTGTCCTCACTTTCCAGATGAGGAGACAGAGGCTGAGCAGTTAATTAACTGGCCCCAGTCTCCCAGCCAGCTTCCCAATTCGGGTCTGTCTCCTAACACTCTAGAGATGAACTTTCACAGATGCGAATCTTCCTCATCTCAAGGGCTGGTTGTGTTCAATTATTTCACATGCCTGTCTCCCCACAAGTCAGCACCCCAGTGCCCAAGCTGTACAGGGCAGGTGGTCTCACCTGAGCGACACTAACGGCCGATGTTGTGACCCCACTCATCCGGTCCGTGGGCTCTGCAGTCAGACTCCCTGCATTGGGATCACTCCTCTGCCAAGTTCTAGGCGGCGCCCTTAAACTAGTTCACATCAGAAGTCTCCTTGACAGGTTGGATGTCTTTCAGAGAACTAGCAGTCAGAACACGGCTCATCTGATTACAGCTCAATCGAAGAAGAAAGAGACAAAAAGAAGAAAAATAAAAACAATGACCCAGAAATGGCTACCACAACATTCTCACTAATACCCCCACCCTCCCCTAACCGGCGTCCTGGAAGAGGTTGCTCATTTATCACCTGCCTGGAGCCTAAAAGGGGCTCCAGCATCTTTCTCAGCCCAGCATCCCAAGAAGCTGCTACCAGTCAGATTGGTGTAGACACAGGCAGTGAGCCCCATTTCCTATTCCAGTGTTGTTCAACCAGCAATACGATTTAAAAGCCAAACTATGTACCCAAATTGCTATAAACCCTCTCCACACCTCCATTTCCTCATCTGTAAACGAGATGATAGTGGTTGTCCTAGAGGTGAACTTATGATTGGAACCTGGCATATCAGAAAATGTTGGCCATTATGATGTATATATTTGAATCATGTGTTCTGGACTCATAACTCCCAACATTCTAAGAACTTTGGGATTTCAAACGATATCTGTCTACCTTCAACCAACTTTCCATTCAGGTCAACAGAGTTCACTGAGTAGGAAGCAAGAATAAAGGAGACTCGTGAAGGGGTGGGAGCTCCACTCGTGGGAGGCGGGACTGGGGAAGAATTAAGTCTGCTGGTCGGGAGAATGAGGGAGTTGGCCAGGGAAGCACTGCAGAGGAAGAGAACTTTGCATGAGCCTAGAAGAGTCAGGAGAACTTCACAGAGGTTGGGCGGGAAGGCAGGGCAGCAGAGGGAACACAATCGTAAGGCCAGCGGGTGCAGAGGGGTGCCGTGCGCCTGGAGAGGTGCAGGAGCCTGGTGGTCAGGTGCAGGCAGGGGGTGGACCGCAGTGGGAGGTGAGGATGGAGAGGGCGGCGGGGGCTGGAGCATGGACGTTTCAGAATGTCAGCCTCAGCCTTTGGGGTTTTTCTACAGCTGCTGGGAGCCAGCCAAGGGTTTGGGGAAGGAAGTATCCTGATGGGAACATTCGCCCTGGCAGGGTGAGGAAGAGGGATCATTGGAATGGCACGGAGTTAGGAAAATGTTTCCTTCTCCAGGAGAGCATGGCTGAACTGTCCTCATTAAGGGGATGGCGGACAATCGACACTGTTGAACTGCTATTGTGTACCGGCCACCATGCTGTGTGATTCACACACCCCAGCTCAGTCAGTGCTCATGCAGCCCCTTGAGGAATCACTACCTGTGTTCCCAATGGGGACATCGAGTCCTGCTGCAGACAGGAAGGCAAGAAAGTAAGGTTGCTGTCTGGGGCAGCGTGTGGGTGCCCCTGGGGTCTGAGATCTGGTCCTCGGCTCACAGTCCCAGCAACTTGATTTGGAGGCACAAGCAGAGGATAGCAGGTTTGGGAACTGACTTGATGCTAATCCAACCTTCAGGAGTCCGAGGCTGATACCCACCTGCCCACTTCACTGTGAAGTACGGTTTCTCTGGCCTTCTGGTGTCCATCTGTGTTCTCATTCATTTGTGTTCTCTGCTCTGTGAATTCATCCCATTAAGACAATCTCAGTGACATGGAAAACAGTATGGAGTTTCCTTAAGAAACCAAAAATAGACTTATATGATCCAGCTGTCCCACTCCTGGGCATATAACTAGAGGAAAATCTAATTCGAAAAGATACATGCACCCCAATGTTCATAGCAGCACTATTTATAATAACCAAGACATGGAAACAACCTAAATGTCCACCAACAGATGACTGGATAAAGAAGAGATGATTTTACATTTATACACAATGGAATACTATTCAGCCATAAAAAAGAATGAAATCATGTCATTTGCAGCAACATGGATGGACCTAGAGATTATCATACTAAGTGAAGTAAGTCAGACAGAGAAAGACAAATACCACATGATGTTGCTTATATGTGGAATTAAGAAAAGAAAAGATACAAATTTTACTTATAAACCAGAAATAGGCTCAGGGACATAGAAAACAAACTGGTTATGGGGGTGGGGAGGGAGAAGGGATATATTAGGAGTTTGAGGTTAACAGATACACATTACTATATAGAAAATAGATAAATGACAAGGACCTACTGTACAGCACAGGGCACTCTACTCAATTTATTATAATAAGCTATTATGGAAAAGAATCTGAAAATATATGTATATGAATATATGTAAGTATGTATAACTGAATCACTTTGCTGAACACCTGAAACTAACATTGTAAATCGACTACACTTCAATAGAAAATAAGAATTTTTAAAAAAGGAAGAGAATCTTAGTGGCAAGCCAGTTACAGCAGTGCCTGGTGAGCGTGCAGAGAAATGGTGGGGAGGGCGCCAAATCGTCTTGAAGAATATGTCATTAAGACCATGATAAGGCCTGATGAACCATTCACGCCCCACAGCCGAGAGCACCACATTCATTACGAATTGCTGGTTGAACAACGCTGGAATAGAAAATGAGGCTCGCTGCTCGTGTCAACACGGCTCTGACTGGTAGCAGCTGCCTGGGATGCTGGGCTGAGAAAGATGCTGGAGCCCCTTTTAGGCTCCTGGGAAGGCCCGTGTGATAAACCAGCAACCTGTTCCGGGGTGCCAGGGGAGGGAGGGCGAGGGCGGGGGGATTGGTGGAGTGTTGTAGCAGCCATTTCTGGGCACTGTTGTTTTTCTTTTCCTTCTGTGACTAAGCTGTAATCAGCTGCTCCCCGGCATGGAAGTGATGACAGTGGAGGTCTTTTCATCACCACATTTATGAGTCACCACTCGTGTCACCTGTTAGAACAGAACTTTCTGACCCAGCTTCCCCAACCAAACTTTTGATAGCATCACCATCAAACCCGGACTGTCGGCTTCTGGGCAAGGCATGTCTCTGTCCATCCAAACGCCACCCTCCTTTGGGTGGGAGGAGTTTCCACCGTCCCCTCCAGCTCCCATGGCTCCCCCCTCCTCCTGTCCCCTCCAGCCTGTGGCCCCGTGTAGCAGGTGGTCCATCTCTGCTCTGGGGTAGCTGTGGCACTAAATAAACAATTGTGGCGCCTGGATTTCCAGTCTCCATCTACATTGTCTTCCTGTGGGATTTGGGGGGGGGAAGCACTTAATTTTGAATATTCATACTTCTCCATCTGAAAAATGCAAGTAAGAGCACTTGGCACCAGTGACCGCGAAGGTGCTGAGTTAGTGTTAGCAGGTTGCCCTGCGTGTCTCAGGCATGGTGATGCTTTCATTCATGGATGCTCTGGGATTGGGGTCACTGCCCAAGCTCTTTCTCTCCACTCCATTCACTCCCAACGTGGCCATTACCAACTTCGGCTCCAGCCGTTGAATAAATGGGATACATTTGAAGCAGGTAGTGCATGGGGCTGCCTGAAATTGCTGACTGAGGGGTTTCGCTATACTTGTCTGTGTCTAATTTTGTTTGCGTAACAGTGCAGGTGTGCCCTACTTAGAGAAATCGCCGATGGCTGAACTGGGGAGTCTGTCTCTGGGGTCCCCCATGATTTGAT